GTTGTGCCCGAATTACGACGGACGATACTTGGCGCGGATTTTCTGCGGGAGATTGGCGCGATAATCGACACGCAGGCGAAGGTTGTGATCACGAAATATGGACGTATCGGCATGTATGAGACCAGTGAGATGGCAGCAGTTAACCTGTCGAAGGTACACAATATGACAGAGTTAATTAATAAATACGATCATCTGTTTACTGGAGATGGGGACCCATACGGTTATTGCGATACGGTGAATCACGAAATTCCGTTAAGTGGCCCGAAAGTAACGTCATTTACCACGCGAAGAGTTCCATGTCATTTAGAAGGTGAAGTTGAGCGACAGGTGCGAGAGATGTTAAAAGGTGATATTATTGAAGAAGCTGATAGCCCGTACAACTCTCCAGTGCTGTTAGTAAAAAAGGCGAATGAGAAGTATGGATTCTGCGTTGATTTTCGACAGTTAAACAGTATGACAGAATTAAGACCGTGTGCCATGCTAACAGTAGTAGAAACTTTAGATCGCCTACAAGGCGCAAATTTGTTTTCAGTTCTCGATCTTCGCTCAGGATACTGGCAGATACCGATAAAGCCAGGTGATAGAGATAAGACGGCATTCATCGTGGGTCAGACACAATATCGATTTAAACGCATGCCGTTTGGACTAGCAGGTGCACCGTTTACCTTCAGAAGACTGATGACGCTAATACTTAGGAACTTGAAAAACGTGGAAGTGTATGGTGATGATGTCGTGATATACAGTCAAAACGAAAACGATCATGTGAAGCATGTAGAAGCCGTGCTGCGACGCATCGAAGAGTTTGGACTGCGCATTAACAAAACCAAGTCCCAGATAGCCAGAAAGAATGTTACTCTGTTAGGACATAAAGTAGGAAATGGTGAGATTAAACCACTACCGGAGAAAATCTTGACGATTAAAACAGTTCCAGTCCCGATTTCAAAGAGGAAATTGAGGCAATTCTTGGGTAGAGCGGCGTTTTATAGTCGATTCGTGAAGAACTTCAATGAGATAGCAGCCCCTCTGTACAGGCTACTAGGTGAACCGAAGTTTGTTTGGTCGGAGGAATCGCAGAAGACATTCAACAGGATTAAACAGCTGCTCGACCACCAACAAATGACACTAAAGCTACCTGTACCTGGAAGGCAGTTCACAGTATGCACAGATGCCAGTGACTACGCCATAGGTGCGGTCCTAAGACAGGGTGAGTGAATCGTTGAGTATGCCAGTCGGGTTTTGACACACACAGAGCGAAAGTATTCAACGATAGAGAAAGAATGTTTAGCGATGGTATGGGCAATCGACAAATGGAGACCTTATTTACTCGGCCGGCGGTTCCACATCGAAACGGATCATAGGCCGCTACAGTTTCTGAAGACAGCGAGAAACCCACGAGGGGAATTGTCACGGTGGATGTTGCGTCTTCAGGAGCGCGATTTTACCATCTCACACGTTCCTGGAAATGAAAATGTCTTGGCAGATTTGTTATCGAGACCAAAAGACGAGTCTGAGTTGCCCGAGGTCGCGTACGGAGTGCATGCAGTAGAACAAGACCCACTAAGACTGGCACGCAGACAAAGGTTGGATGATACGCTGAATACAGTAATACAGGTGATCACTAACGGAATAGAAGCGGATCCAGCTACAGCGAGTAAGGAGCTAACCACACTACTCAGACAGAGAGATCGACTAAGAGTGAATGTCTACGGGACTCTGACCTGGCGAGAGGACGACGGAAGCTGGCTAGCTGTCACACCTCAATCGTCGCGCCACGACATGATAGAAGAATGCCATCAGCTAGCACATACCGGAGTGGCCAGAACAGCCGACCTCTTGAGACAAAGTATGTACTGGCCAGGTATGAGAGAAGACGCAGCAAGATATGTACTTGGATGTCCACGGTGCCAGCTAATGAAAGGCGACCAGTGCATACGACCACCGCTTCAGTCGATTCCAGTTACGGCGATAGGTGACTTGTGGTCCGTAGATGTTATGGGTCCATTTCCTCAGACATCCAATGGTAATCAGTACCTCTTGGCGGTGACGGAACACGCGACACGATGGGTAGACGCCGTAGCAATCCCAGACCAACGCGCAAGGACCGTGACAGATGCAGTAGTTAGACACATCGTTGCAGACCATGGTGTACTAAAGACAATACTGACAGACCAAGGTCAGTGTTTCGAAAGTGAAGAATTTACTTCCCGTTTGCAACAGCTTGGCATCAACAGGATCCAAGCGACCCCATACCATCCACAAACGAATGGCCTGACGGAGAGAAACAACCGTACGCTGAAGGAGTGGCTGGCCTCGAAGGGCGGTAACTGGGAAACGGAGCTGCCACTGATTCTACTAACACATCGTGCCACCACCCAGGAAACAACGAAAAAGTCACCCTTTCAACTGATGTATGGTAGAAAACCACGATTACCGATACACAACGAAACCTGGCCCCTTCACCAAAAGTGGAGTACGACGAAATTAAAAGCAGAACGGAAAGAAGCCGTCAAGAATGTAATGCAGAAGCAGCGGGGGATGTCGTGAAGTCTCAGCTGAGAGAAAAGACTCAGTGCATTACCTTCTCAGTCGGGGACCAAGTGAAGTGTAGAGACAGAAGATATGCTGTCGGATGCGGGCCAGGTTCACGCAAACTCCTTCCAAAGTGGGAAGGACCATACACAGTCACAAAAAGACGGGTCAAGTATATACCATCAGAAGAGGTGACAAACAAAAACGAGTTAACGCCAGTCAGATCCAACGATGGGTGCATTGGGACAAGCCGGGCTGTAACAATCATCAACGAGAGGATGCATCACCCAGAAGGTCGGAACGCCTGCGCGCGAAGCTATTTGACGGGGGGACGAGTGTGGTGAGAGCTGTCTACTAGCCAAATTGGTAGACAGTAATTTACGTCAATACTTACGTTCCCAAGATTTGTCGTGAGAAAATGTGGACAAAGATTGATTCAAAACCGACCACAGCAGACTTTGCGTAGGCGGATGCAGTTAACATATAGATGATTTGACATTCAAGAAACAGTCACAAAGAGATGAAAGATTAACTTTAAGTGAGAAACAACCAATCGGAAGACTGTGTTTGTTTGCTTAAATATCCATAATAATGTACATGAAAATATATAAATATGCGTTGATTTCCTTAATAAATGATCTGTTGCCTGACTCTTGCCTTCTGTCATTACACAAGTACTGGGAATATGCGAAAGCATATTGAATGGGAGCTGACTTGCCAACTTGCTCAACTTCGATGGAGACCTTCGTGAAAGATTTACAAATTAACAATTATAAGAATCTGTTCCGATTGCTTGTACTATAATTCAACAATATGTACTTTTTGAAAAAGTGATAATGTATGCTAATTCACAATTGTAATTCGTAACATAATTGATCGTGCCTGTAAAAATGGCATGCATTTCATGTAAACTTACCCGTTTATACGAAATATATATTATTATTATTAATGGTGTTCCATTAAATTGGCCACGTTAATTAGCATGGTTTCATGAAAATACAAAAACATACCTTTACATTTTGAATTTCCTACCTTATTTAATATATCGCATCGCGCAGATATCAGTATCAAGCGACATTCCCTGATACAAGTGGAGCAAATGTAACGCAGTTCAAGTGCATTATTCCGTCGATATTATATACGTCAGAAACGTTTCTTAACGCAAAAGCTTCACTTAGAAAGCATATAAAAATAAAGTTTCTGTCATTAAGCTGCCATAGCAACGGGGATATGTTATAAAGCCCATCGATATTGCACGTTAGTAGCTCTATAGTTACTGAAAGCTGAGTGCTTAAGACAGGCTGAGTGGATAGCACGTTATTACTCCTGAAGTTTTGTAGTCGAGGACAGCTTGTCTCACCTTGAACAAATTTTTTCAATTCCCGGTGCAAGCTGAATATTCAGTGAGTTGCGTGGACGGTATAATTATCTTTATTGTGCACTAAGACGAATACTTTAAGATAATGTAGTCTAAGTTTTTGACTGAAGTGATTACTTATCACGTTGAATCAACAGAAGAGTAGAATGAGAGGCTTCACAAGCTATAAAGACAAACTATGGCGGCCACCAATTAACTTTAAATGACCAATCAGAGTGAAGATAGAAAAAAGACACCGTAAATTAATTGTATGTCAAAATGTATATTTGTACACAGAATACATGCGGTAAAAATATTTGATAGTTAAGAATAGAATGATCCGTGCAATATATCAGTCAACTTCTGTACAAATATTTGTTCAAAAGATTATATATTAGTTAGTTTTGGGAAGCAACTACTGATACAACATTCTTCCTAAGACTACTCCGAAAACCCTCAGTTAATATATATGAGAATCTGAGATAGGATTCACGATATATCGGAAGTGGAAAACTTTATGGTAAAGATTACGTAAAGAGCATAATCGACTATAGTCCGACCACTGGTCCGTATGTATTGTCGTAACAGGTAAAACCAATCATGGTATGACTGGAAAGAGTACAGATGCATCTCTGCTTTTCCTACGGTTGACTTCACAGGTTGATGCATAACCCAGCTGTGCACAATACATGAAAAACTTTGAAATAATAGCTTTGATATGGAAAAGAACGTCCCTATAAATACAGGGACACTGTCTAGAACAATCTGTAAATATGAGTATCATTCGTAACACTGTTTCCCTTAATTGATACGTACCTTGGTCCTGCTTATCTACTTATTATCCGAACTGAACTAGAAAAGGAGATCTGGAGTGAACTGGCAGCGCAAAAGATGAACGTTGTTCATGATAATATATGAAGATTATTGTCAAGGTCTGCGATGACGGATAGGGTCTCTTTTCACCACTTTATTTTTGGGATGTTTTCCCATGAGCTATCTAAATCAGCACTTTTCGGTGCAAAAACAACCAGTTATTGCGTTACCTATTAGTTTAAACATAGTACTGAAGTTAAATTTAATGCCCTCCAAGGTTGCGTTCACTTCGGAATTTACGATGGTTGGTTGAAGTCATGTGTTTGGGACAATTGTTAATTGTCATTAAGGGTCACTAGAGATTCTTATTTTTCTAACCATTAAGTTTTTCCGTTTTCCGCAATCAATGTAGTTTCTAAAATTGCTTCACGATATATTTCTAAGTCATACTAAAAGTTATATTATGGAGAGCAGTATGTAAATTTGTATTGATGTTAATTAGTGTATAAAAATAGTGGAGTCACTACCTGTTACTCATACGTTGAATTCTGCATAGTTTTCCAGAATTCACAAGACTGCTTAGTAACAAATTACTGGTTTCTGTTGAGGGTAAATTCTGGTGGCTCCGGAAAGAAAAATTTGTATCCTTAGAAGTTCAAGTATGTCGTTGCATCGCATTGAATTATGCTTCCCGATTTGTGTTTTTGAAAATATTTAAATGTTATCAACTTATCATAAATGTTAGATATTAGACATCAGTAGTAATTCACTTACTAAGTACCTTCTTTCACATCAAAGACATCGTGAATTTAGTTTAGAAATGCACATATGAGAATTTTTTTGAAATTCCGTGAGGCATTAATCCAGTGTTTTCACACTGTCTTTAGTGTTTCAAAGTGTTTTTGTCGTCTAGTGATATACATTTACAGTGTGGATCAAGGGATTTTCCCTGCTGCCGAGACTGTTATCAGTGATAAATTTCTACTCAAGTGAATTTGCTGGTCTTTCCCTTTTTTAAATTTTGTGAAAGTTGTTAGAGTAACTTTGTAAGTATTCAAATGGGTGAACTTGGATCAAATCAATCGTCAAAGTAAAAAACTAAAAATATTGAGGATTTTAACATGTCGAGGGTGGTTGTTAGTCTCCTGATGATCTTAGAAAAGCAGCGTTTTAATGAATATAAATGTCAAGCGAAAATTATTTTCATAGGTTATAATTATCCGCTACAGTAAGTATTCAGTCCTGGTTTTTTACCTTTTTGTTTTGAAACAACTGAATCACCATTGCGAAATATAGAGAAAAACTGTGTTTCTTATTTTCTAAGTGAATTTTGTATTACATTTATGCCTTAAATATGATCCTTTTACCTTTCCGGATTTTCTAACGGTAATTTACTTTTATGCATTTCGTAAAAGCACACAGTGAAATACATTTTGGTAACTGGTGGTGTTATTAGCGGGATTGGCAAAGGAATTATCTCCAGCAGCGTTGGGACTATTTTGAAAGCTTATGGATGGAACGTTACCTGCATAAAGATTGATCCCTACTTAAATATTGATGCTGGTACTTTTTCACCGTATGAACATGGGGAGGTCTATGTCTTGGATGACGGTAGTGAAGTTGATCTCGACCTGGGAAACTATGAGAGATTTTTAAACATAACACTGACCAAAGATAATAACATTACTACTGGAAAAATTTATCAGAAAGTGATCGAAAAAGAACGTCGGGGTGATTATCTTGGAAAAACAGTTCAGGTAAGAATGTTGTTTCCTAAATAGCTAAATTATACATACAGCATATTGGTATAATATATTACAACGCATACCCAGTGCTGTTAGACTGTAAACTAGTTTTCGTTTACACTCATTTCTATTTGTAAACTCCTGGATATAATCGAACGAAGTAGTGTGTTCGTTAACGTACAACGGATGACATTTCTAAATACACGCCAAAAGCCATAACCTTATATTCTCGTTTGTACAACATTTCTCAGTACACATGTTGTGCAGATTTTGTCTAGACAATTAATATTTGTAATAAGCGGATTTTTACGAGCCACTACTTAGAATTATGTAATTTCTAGTGTTACTTCTCAGAAAATCACTAGTGAAAATCTGAGTTTTTCATCATTTGTTTATTATTATTAATCTTGTTGTTATTAAAACACAAATATGTATAGAATACATCTTGCAGGCATTCGCTGCTGTTTCTCTTCAATGGCTAGTTTTCATGGGAAGTTATCACATTCAAAGAACAAGAGTTGTTAATATTTATTAAAGCATCTTAGTAGTGTTGACAGTAACTTAAGTCTGCTTTTTGTTGTTTGCTACAAACTCGAAAATATGGACACTAAGTAATAAGTAACCATATAAGGACAAGAGAAATAGAATGATTGAAGAGAATGAAACAAGTAAGCAAACTTATGAAGTATATTCATTTCAATTCTTGAATGAGAAGAAATGAATTTCCGCCACTAGTTTCACTTGTTAGACGTATCTGATCTGATTAGTAGCATGACTTTTTGGACTTGTCCAAAGAATCGCGCTGCTCCTAAAAACTAATCCAGCGTGACTACGCTTCGTCCCACGTAGCCACATAATGGACTGTACACCCGGACTTTTCCAATTAGTCCTATGGCTAGCAACTAGTGAACCATGTGTTAGTCACTATGATAATATTCATAACATGTGTCCAAGCCAAGAAGGCCCCAGGATGACACCAATTTGCAACGGTGCTGGAAATTGCCGAAACTGTAAATTGCCTTGGCTTCCACCATATGACTAGCGATTTCATCCTTTATAGCTGCTTACGTACACGAGCGTCTTACTTTTAGCGATTTAACTGCTAAGGTGATGATGGACACAGGCTGCAACCAAATTTGCAACAGATACTTTCAAAAGGTACCGTAATTACTGAAGTTGACTGCCAAAAACTTAGTGAGTTTTGGATAGACTGTTGTTACCTCATGATGAAATAATATCGCCCATATACAGAAGGTTTGGGTGACCTAGACTCAACTGTCGACTGTTACCAGGAGTAGCTGCTATCTCCATGCTGCAACAACGTCCTCACCACCACAGTCGTGATGATAAACATCTTTCATTGCATTTCACCTGCGATATATCGGTTCAAAGGCTGTGGTATCAAAAAGATAACGCATTTCTGTGAATTTACTTCCTAATCTAACATAACCCATCTCATTAACACAATCGATTTTTTGTAAGAACCTATTGTAGTAACATAGCTTCTGTTTTGGTGTTTTGTGCAATAAAAACACTGAATACTCCAGATGCCTGTCTCAGGGTCTTCGAAGAAGCACACAGACAGAAAAGTTGTCCTAAGCATTTCGTCGAGATCTTGTGTGTGGGACTTTGAAATGCAGCACATGTTGGTATTGAGGTTTTTCAGGTTACCATTTTAAGGCCAACGTTTAATGGTCACCCTAACGCCGAGACGGAGCTAGAGGTAACGTACAGCTGAGGAAAATGAAGATGAAATTATCTGTAAAGAGGATCAAAATAAAAAAAGATTCCTCGTTTATTGGAACAACGACAATTACAATAGAGGTCTTTGACCTGTAACCAGTTTAATATCTGCTTTCAGCTATCATGATTCACAGCTGTGCGGTGCACGCATTTTGATAGGTAATTAGATTACTTGCCGGCACATGCAGAATGAGCCTTTTTTATCACTATCGGGATTCCACTGGCAACCAGGGCGTCAAGGTTGACGCAGCTTCCCAAATGAAGTATTCACTTATTTCAATCTATGTTTCTAAACTAGAAGTCTGTGAGGACCAATCCTATAGTCTCATATTACATTTTATAGATGTATTGAATCACCTGACAGTGTTAACAAACAAATGCAAAGTAATTGTGAGTTCAAAGCAGAGAATAACCATACTCATGAAATCGAGTGAATATTTGTTAATGAATAAGAGGATGTAAAATAAGTATTTAAAACTTTTGAGTTACAGCTGACCAGCAGGTATCTAAGGCCTCATTTTCTAATTAACTTCTCCCCCGCAGTTTCTTGCGGATACTTGTTTTTGGTAAATACATCTCAGAAATCTCGTCTCATTTTCCACAGTATCATGTGCAAAAATTTGTTGACCCAGAACAAAAAGGAATAAACCTGATTCCTTTCTGTGCAAATAGGAAGGGAGCTGTGGAAATTTAAGCCCTATGTTCATTTATATATTTCTTTCTAATTGTTCCCAAATTATCTGTAATTTATTCTGCTTTTCATGTAATCCTAGGTTGTACCTCATATAACGGATGCCATCATAGAATGGGTCACGAATGTTGCTCAAATTCCAGTTGATGAAAGTGGTTCAACCCCAGAGGTATGCATAATCGAACTCGGTGGTACGATTGGTGATATTGAATCTATGCCGTATGTAGAGGCCTTCAGGCAAATGCTTTTCCGAGTAGGAAGTGTTAACTTCTGTTGCGTGCACGTTAGCCTCGTACCGCAGCTCGCATCTGTCGGAGAACCTAAGACCAAACCTACCCAAGTAAGTGTTTTTTTTTATTTTCACAACAGTATGACAATATTCCTTTGTTACCTATCTGCATATTATATATATTCTTCAACTGGGTTAGACTGAAATATGTATAAATTCAGGTGCATTTCTCATCTACATATTTAAGATATTCAGGAGCTATTACTGTCTATAATCCGTAGTAGATATGGAATTGTAGTTAGTATGTAAGGTATGATACAGAAGGTAGAAGTTTCTACTGGTTCATGAACAAAATAGGAGGGTAAATCTTAATATTTCACTACTACTGGACCACTCAAATTAGGTGTAGATAGAAACTCCTTGTTGCAGTGGTTAACATATGACTGACTACAACACACTGGTTCACAGCTTACTCTACTAAACGGCTACTGATTACAAATGAGGTTTATTGAATGAAGTATGTAGAAGAAATACACAGTTATATAATCTACGACTGAACAACTATGTAATGGTTAGTACACTAGGCACTAGGTGTCAATTATATTGGCTTTTAGGATCAAATGTACTGTTCATTTAAAAATATGATGGTTAAAGTCAGGCCAGAATCCTAGACTTACTCGTTGAAAGCTGAGTACAAAATCTGTTAAGCTACAGTTCTAATTATACTCTGTTTATGTGGTTCCTGTAGTGCCTAATTAGCCATCACTGCTGAAATCACAGTAATCGGAAGTGTTTGTAATGATAATATAGTAAAATTTAGGGAATTAAGTTTCACCAGTAACTCCTGTTATAACTCATTTGGGCAAGATATTTTTCTCACTCTTAACAACACGGTTATTCATTTCCTGCTGCTCATAACTCAACTGTGATGTCTACGCGTGTTCTATGTTTTCACGGAAACTAATATTATTCGTGTCTTAAATTGAAAACATTCTACATTTTTATTCATTATTACTATCGTCGATACTAATATCTGATTATTCATCTGTAATAGAATCCAAATTAGTGGCATGTCTATCAATCTTTATTTTATGTACCGAAAAGCGGTTTTCCGGGTATTCAGTAACCGTTTGTTAGACACTTAGCTTTTTGTGACTATATTGAATTTTCATAATGGCTTTTAGTAAATATATGATAAGTTCGAATTTAAAGTTTATTTAGTATCCTAAGACAATGAGAATCTAGTGATTGAAGAATTTCTAACTGAAAGAGAACTGTTATTATGCTACTATGCACAAGTGTTCAGTTGACTGTTGTCAACTTCCTAAGTGGATATATATATATATATATATATATATGAGACTAAATAACCAGCGTTTATCGACGTACTTATCAGTAGTTCAGTTGACCATACTAGTTAATTGTTGTAAGGGGAAAATAAGTTCAAATCTGTGACTTATTTGTCGGCAGTCAGATGCTTATACTAATGGGCCATTGTTTCACTGAGACAAAATTGTATGATCAAGTGCTTCTTATAAACACTTAGCCAAAATATTTAGTTGTCTTTTATCTTTCTTAAGTAGAAATGCGTTATTAGAGTTATTGAACACATGAATCTACTTTAACTGCAGTTGTATCGCCTCTATTCGACTTATTCTCATCATGAAATTCACATTATAAATAAGAAACACTAAACTACTGTTCCAAGTAATTCAGTAGTTGGGGGGAGGGAAAATCAATCGAAGAGGCTATAAAGTTACATAGATTGAGATGGCTAGGTCACGTGCTGCGCATGCCTAACCATCGCCTCCCCCGACGGACGTTACTAGCTGATATAGGTGCAGGTTGGAAAAGAGTAAGTGATGGCCAAACAAAAACATGGCATCAATCCATGAAATCCTTGACAGTTAAACTGAGTCAGGTAGGGAGATGCAGACTTCCGGGTTGGGGCCCTCGGGACTCTAAGAATCAGTGGCTTGAAACAATAGGTGACATGGCTCAAAATCGTTTTCAATGGCTTACGCAGATGTATTCAGTCTCTGTAATCTTTCACATTCCTTTCTACCATTACTCATTCTGTTTCACTCTTGTACTTGTCAAAACTCTATTGATTCTCTTCACTCATCTTCTTGTCTACCTTTGTATGCTATTTGGAACGTGGCAACTCGAACTGCTGCACTTGGGTACCAAGTTCTATGTTGAATCCAGCCAGCCAGCCAAATAATTCATTCTGAGCGTTGGGGAAAATGTCTATAACTATGAAAGTTAATGGAAACATTATCTTTTGTTGGTATTCTATCACTAACTAAATTAATAATAGACAAATGGTTTAGACACCCAACTTCTAACCGCTAGGTTACTGGTTCACAAGCTGTCCCACCTAACGTGGCTTAGGTAGGTGGCCAGGCAATATCAGCAGCCTCCACACTATAGGTGCAAATAATATTCCAGTTTTAACAGTAATTAGATTTACTGAAATCGATTGTATGAGTTCATCACGTCAAATGGTATTTGTAAAGGATGTACATTTATACACAATAATGACTGTAAAAATCCCCCTGAAATCTCACCTGCCTGGTTTCCCTTTCCTGTTATTGTTGTATTATTATGTCATTGAAATATTTTGATCAACAAAAGAAAAAACTAAATGGGTGTCTGGTTTCTGATCATAGGGATAGGTTTTCTTTAACTTATTTCACTGAGTCAAAGCTTTTAAATCCATCTCTGCAGTCGATATGGAAGCCTTTAAATGTTGCTACGCTTTTTGAAGCATATTTCGTATTTAAACATAAAATACTGTTTGTATTTGAAACATATTCCTACAAAATCCTTACACTTAGCTAGTAGCAACGTAATAATCATACTTAGGAATTCGGCATTGCACTTTGTATAATAGCTTATACAGACGTCTGCAGCTTTTAAGATAAAGTTGTGACCTCTTTATGCATCATGCTGGTTTGACTCATAAATCTGTAAAAAGCAGTTTTTTTCATATAACAATATTGGTTCTGTTAGTAAAACTATTATTATAACCCGAACATTGGTCATCCATTGTTATAGGATTTTGAGAATTGAGTATACAGCTTAAATATACTCTATATTTCTTTCTTGCTGTCTAATCTGAGCACTTACCATTAAAGTTTTACGAACAAGCGTTGGATTTAAGGCTGCATAATCGGCTGTGGCCTATTGGATTGAACACGACTTTCAATAAGTAGATGATGGGTTCGAACTCCACTCATTTTGTCTTGGTGTATACAATACTTGCACAATTTAGGTGGCTCATTGCATAATGTATAGGCGTGCATCAATCTACTCCAGACATTTATTTTTAAGGTTCTACCATTAAAGTTTAAGGTTATGCACGTAAAATAGAGTATGGAGATCACTACAGTGAACAACGTTGTTCACCTATAGTTATGTGGTAAATATTGCTACATAGTAAAACCCTATACGTATATTCATCGTCTATTTCGGTGCATAATTTTGACTAAATCATACTTGATATCTCACTCATTAAGGGTGATGGCTTACTGTAAAATTCCAAAATAATTCTTTTATTTATGGCAAATGTTCACTGTTTGATAGTACAGTATTGTTTTAATACTTGTGTAGAGTTTCATTCCTACCGAACTTAGCCCTATTCTGTGGTATTATCTTATTTTAAAAAACATGATAACTTGCATTTGTATGTTCGTTATTTTTGTGCTTTGTTGTTATTCATAAGCTGTTGTGGAAGAAATATGACAGTTTCTGACTGAACACTATATTTACTTAGCTACTACTATCGTTATTATTAGCACACAATCTTATGTATCTATCTATATGTATATATGCTTATATTTTTCTTTACTGAATTTTCTCTAAATTATTGGCAAGCGTACGTGAACTTCGTGCTTGGGGTTTACATCCAGATCTTCTAATGTGTCGGTGCAGTTCACCACTTCCATCAAGTGTTATCAATAAGATTAGTTTATTCAGTCAAGTCTCAGTTGAACGTGTAAGTGACATTATTTATTTAAAGAAAATATTTCTGTTTTTATCTAACATTTATGTTAATAAATTTTTGTCTATGTTTCTTAGAAGTGTTTTCATTATGTAAGAAAGTGTCGCAATAAGATCGTTTATTGTAATTCATTATCTAAGTTCAAAATGAGCGGTACACTTTACTCCCGATTCATTGTTCATTATATGCAAACAATTACATGTTGGTTTCAATGTGTCTACTGTTATCGCCTGGTGGTACAAGTGTTTTCATTCATTAACTTCCCGTAACCTGACAGGGAAGGCAGATATTAGATTTTAATTTGTGTACATAGACTTATTCCCTTCGAATTGGAATAAAAATGTTTGAACTTTCTGTACTTAAAAACTTAGCTTCTTTGACTCCCCATTAGTTTATTCCAGTAGAAAATGTGCGTAATGCACGTACTAAGTCTTCAACTAAGGTCCCAGTGGCTCAATGGTCTACGAGCTTGCCTTGTAACCAGAAGGTCCTGGGTTCGAACCCCGGTGGGTGCGTACTGATGAAGAGTCCCAAACTAGGACGAAACAGCTGTTCAGTACTCCCAGGTTTTCCAGTGGTTCTCTAACTGATGTCAGCTCATGACAAAATCCTCCATCCGATCAAACAAAATCCCTACAAAACCAATACTTGAAAATTCAACTAATAAGTAGAAAACATGACACCCTCTAACCCTTTTCTTTTCTTTTCTACTCTTGTGATGATAGTTTGTCTGCCGCATATAATGATTCACATTATATTATTCAAGGCAGTATGACTGATCAAGTGCTTTCTCACTGTCAACACCAGAAGTATTTGATTAGTTGTACAGCTTTCGATACTCACCTGGCCATGGATATCAGTCTTTGCTTAGAAAGAAAGCAGCATGTATTGAGGCTTATAACATTTCGGTGTGTGTGTGTGTTTCTGTACTGTATTCAATTACTCTTGAAATACCTGGAGACTTTGAGCTAGTAGTGTCCAATGTGTTTCTGTTCTTTGCTACTGCTAAATTCGCAATACCACTTCATCTTAATGCAATCGCTGCTTTGAAGGTATCGAGAGTGATTCATGTTTTAGCTTAATCATAATATTATTTTTTTCCATATGTCAAATTGTTTTACAACAGGCCTGTGGATAGTTCACGCATGCATGGCACTTCAAAAAATATCATACCATACTATACAACGTTTTAAGAATCACTGAGATTTTGAGAAGTAAGGAAATTATAACCTAAAACTGTAGAAAAAATGTGTAGTTGTATCCAGTTGGCATATGTTGATGAATATATGTTCAGTTGATGAGGTCTCCAAGATTACTCAATGCAATTTATTGAAACAGCTAAACAGTGTTCATTATACTGTTCTGTATTTGAAAATTATTAGAGGATAAAAAGTAACAATGTAACAACAGAAGACAAGGGCCAGGCAACAGATGGTTTATTAAGGAAAATCAACACATATTTATAGATTTTAATGTACATTATTGTAGATTATTGATAGTAGAAAATACAGTCTTTTGATTGGTTGTGTCTCACAGAAAGTTAACCTTGCATCTCTTCGTGGCTGTGTCAGATCATCCATATGCTAACTGTATCCGCCTACGCAAAGCCTTTGTTCTCACTTTCTCACCACCAATATTGGGGACATAAACATTGACGTCAATTACTGTCTACCAACTTTGGCTAGCAGCCAGATCTCACCACAACAATATTTATAAAACATATTTTCATATAAGTCTTATCATTTTGATAACAACTCTTATTTATTATTTTAATTCTTATTGTCATACAATTTTTGTATTTCATTTTAAAACTAGGTCATTCTTGCTGTAGACGTCAGTGATCTATACGAAGTTCCTATCCGATTGAATGAACAAAATTTATGCTCTATTTTATTGGAACATTTTCAATTGAAACCTAAACAACATATTGAATATCCTATTCTTGGAAAATGGAAAGCATTAACTCGTCAATTAGAATTGGCCTCTGAAACAGTTCATGTAGCTATTGTTGGAAAATATGCTAAACTTAACGATGCTTACCTATCTTTATTAAAGGTGGTAATCTTTTTTAAAAATTTTTTAAATTTATTTCCTTATCTGATAATGTTGATTACACTTGTGTCTTGTTTTTCACTTCTTTAATGATCTTTACAACATCCGTCTTTGACTCTTCGTTATTAGCCTAACTATTTAACCTAAAATCAATGTAACTCGGTTCGGAACATTATTCTACTAACATTTAGACACAATACACTTGGACTATTGTGTAATGCTTCAGCAGGTACAAGTTCGCTTAGTTACTTGAAATCATTCACCTGACAAGCTTTAAGTTTCGGTCCATAAAGTTCCATGGAATCAGTAATGTGAATCTGCTATAATGCTGGTTTAAAAGTATACTAAGATCCATTATCTCATTTAGTTTTATACATCCGGTCGCGAATCACAGCTTTTTTAAGGTTGAACAGTAATGTGGCTGTGCCTCAGAAATGTCTCTACCTTATATCTTCACTTATGAGTTACTACATAAGAAGTTGTTATCAGCATTCCTTTATTTTTGAATGTGAATGAAACATTGTTGTCACGGTAAACTTTAAAGACACAGAAAGTATGCTTGGCATTACTACGGAATTTCATGATTTCCTTTTACTGGTTTTTGTTACATTTGCCTGATCATTACCATTTAATGAGGCTAAATAGCACAAAAATGGTCGCTAACAAAGTGCAAATAACTATTTCACTGTCACAGTATCTCTTCTAAAATCGGATACCTGATCGTATTTTTTTTTAATTATTCTAATTTTTACGCATTAGGCTCTTCGTCATGCAGCGATTTATACAAACCGAAAACTGGATACCTCACTTGTATGCGCTGAAGATCTGGAAGATAGCACTCGTGTCTCTAGTCCAGATGCATTTCACCAAGCTTGGTTAACAGTGAGTAATTCAGATGCTGTTGTTGTCCCTGGTGGTTTTGGCCAACGTGGTGTTGATGGAAAGTTGGCTGCTATACGTTTTTGTCGAGAAAGAGGTGTACCGTTTCTTGGACTTTGTTTGGGTCTTCAATGTGCTGTTATTGAATTCGCTAGAAATGTTCTTGGCTGGGAAGTAAGTCATCTATCGTAAAGATATTAATGGATTATATGATTAATTTCAGCGTGCATTAGAAATGACTGTTTATCTGTAAATCCTTACATATGTACACGAAAAAATTCGAGTAGTAGTTGAAGGAATTCACATTTCAATTTGGTTGTTTCTACTATTTACTTCCGATAAAAGCTTCTTATTCAGCCTGAGAAAGTTACTTCAGATTTTTGTGTACAGATATAAAGTGGGGTTTTAAGGATATTATATTATTATATTACTATTGTTCCCTTCGGTTCCTAGTGGAACATAGGGCTTCAACTGCACGTCTCCACTTGTTTCTGTCTTCTGCTGTACTTTTCACCTGCATCCATGTTATTCCTTACTGTTTCAACTCCTCTTCATACGATCTCCTCCATGTCACCCTTGGACGTCCCACTCGCCGCTTCCCTTTTGGGTTCCACTCGAGCACTGGCCTGACGCGCGATGTCACCCAACGGCCTCCTCAGCGAGTGTCCAATCCACCTCCACTTTCTCCTGCATATTTGTTGGGCGATTGGTTCTTGTTTTGTTTGTTCCCATAGTTTCTAGTTGGTGATTCTTTCCGGCCATCTGATCTTGAGTATAGAACGAAGACAGTTGTTGATAAAGGTCTGCAACAGGCTGTTGGAAATATTCTTTGTGACCCTCCAAGTTTCTGATCCGTAAAGAAGAAGTGACTTGACGTTTGTATTGAAAATCCGAATTTTAAGGATATTAGAAATCCTTAAATCTTATTTATCAGTGATACAGTTAAAAGTTATCAGTTGTGCTATAAATGCATTTAGGAAAACTATTTCATGTTCAGTTATCTACCTTTCATCTACAATAAATTAAAAATTTTGACGCTCGCATTGAAGATGTTGTCTAGATGAGCAATGGAAGGGTCACAATTAAACCATCTGGTTCACAGAACACAACAACGCCAAATGCAAAATGTGTGTTGTGTTGTGTTCATTTCTGTGATTACGTAAAACAGTAAATTTGCTTGACTATATATATACGGAGAAAGAGAAGAATGGTCAGAACCTCATCAGTTTGCTAATTTCAAAAGTAATTGTAATAAAATGATGCAGATAGAACAGCTCTGTGCCAACAGCTGTTTGTCAACTCAGAATAGTACTAAGAAATTTCGTGAAAAATAACGACGAAGAGAAAAGTCATGATGATAAAGAACAAAACAGCACAGTTGATGATTGTGTGAATCGCCTTCGATACGATAGTCAAGACGAAACTGCATGTTATCGCATAAAACGGCTGGAAGCAGTGCTTTAAATACCAAAGTAAGGGAGAGTTATTATTTTAGACAAATTATGAGTTATTAAACACAGTAATAATGATAAATGTGACGACGGTATTAGTGATATTTCAGTTTGCGGTTTCTAGCATGAGCTGAAGTAGTAGGGACATAGTATCAGGTTAGCTATTCGATTTCATCATTACTACTTGAATATGTCGTGTATTATGGTGCTGTTACGTTTCTTAACTCAGCTTTTCGTGCTATAATGCATTACCACTACTGCCAAATAGTTGTTGGGCTGTGACAAAAATACAGGACTGTGGGAAGATTCAGAAATAGTTTATGATGATAACCAAGCTTATATAATCGTTTATAAGATGCAGCTTTAATTCAATCGATTCATAGAAAATAACAGACTTTCTATTTAAGATATTCACAGAAGCCTATTTAAGTGATAATCCATTACAAATCGCTTTTCATTTTGGCTTTCAATGTGTTTAGTCCTGTCCATGCATCAAGTATAGAGCTGCCAGGTCTTTCACTTAATTGGGACTGGTCGATTCACATTACTAACTTCTTCGAGTTCGTAATTTAGCTACATTACCGTCCACTTTCATCAGAAGAAGGGATACTTTGTACTCAGTCATTGAAAGTTGTTTAAGTCTTTAAAAATTCTTTGATTGGACACTAACTAACTGGCATCATGTGTCTATTCCTTTCTTTAGTAAAGACTGTCAGTCAAGTTTGCAATGTGGCTACTATGCTAATTGGCTCGCCATCACATTGCGCTCTGAAATTTTGAAATTAGATGGTTGGAGACAATCGGAAGGGAGCCCTTGACCTAGGTTTCGCGCTTGTTGACAGTCGTCAGCAAGGCTTATCTGCAACCTCGAAGGAATCCATGTTCCTCCTGAGACTCGAACCTACGTCACCCAGTGCTGCAGTCAGAGGCATGACACCAGTTAATTAGTGTCCAATCAAAGTACCCAATACAGTCCTACATGAGGTCAATCACGAGCCCGAATAGCTTAGTGGCAACGTCTCTGACTGCAGTACTGACTGGGTGACGTGGGTTTGAATCTCAGAAGGAACATGGATTCCTTCAAGGTGAGAGATACTGCCTTGCTGACGAGTGACAACAAACACGAAACCTAGGTCAGGACTTCCTTCTGATTGCCTCCAACCATCTAATATCTTTAACAATTCTTTATTCTATGTTTTCAAGTAGTCAGTTTTAAATCGTTCACTCACAATTGCTTTTATTTTAACTGTGATGTCATTCGTTTTCAATGAAGCTTTGGATTGATATTTTGTCTCAGAGATTCGGTAGACTCTCAAGGATACTAGTGGAGTTTGTCACTTCAACTCGCATCTAGTATACATTGCTTCAGATATCTGAGTGTACTTTTTCGAATCTCTTGTCCCCAGATATCTACTACTAGTCATGAAGGTATAATATTGGAGAGAAATACTGATTTAGGAAAATTGTTATCTAGTAACATTTTTATCTTCAATCAAATATTTATTACCCGATAAATATTTCATAGTCATATTGTTCCAGTTGAATATTTTGGCCTGTAAGTAAATCATAATGAATCAACTTAGCATAAATTTTATTCACATGCTAGTTCAGTTTTTTTTAAAGGAAATTCATATCACTAGTTAGTTGATTTCACTGAACAGTCATCATGTGGTTACATCATGTCAACAGACTAATCGATCGATAAACCCTTTTTTCTAAAGTCCCTTCTTTCTATTGTAACAATTTACAATTCAGTTATGTTTTGTTTTAGAAAACGACTGATAGTTCTCTATCTCCCTGTTTCTGTTTTTAAGTGATAAGCTAGATAAGAAGGGCGCTATGATTGAGAATATCATTTCAACTAGTCATTTACTTTGGAAGCTGATTAGCTAGTCCAGGTTAAAATGAGAAATATTCATAAGATGTCAAGGTAAGTTTTGTCATGAATCGACATCAGGTGAAGAACCATTGAAAATCGGACAGCTGTATCCTCCTGCAATGGGACTACTCAGCAACACCCATCTATAACTGCAGTAGAGATCGAAACAAGGACCATCGGGTTACAAGGCGACCACATTACTATTCAGCCACTGGTTCGGAATCCATCTCCATTTAGTGTAGTCAATTTGTCTTTGTCCTCACACCTCATTTGGTCGACCCTATTGGTTAGGATTTCTCATTAGAACTCCAGAAATTTTGTATTCAAATTTATAAAAGAGGATTCTTATATGAAATTCTTGAAGAGAAATCTCCCTGTTGAATCGTATAATTTAAATTTAACCTCAGTACTTCTGATAATAATGATGATAATAACAGTCAGGTGACATCACTAGCGGGTAATTGTTTTTGGAGGATTAATGTAAGGTTGGCTAGTTGATACTTTTTTTAATTTCTGTATAATTCATAACACCTTTTTTCTGAAATATACTAACTGAATACTTGATATTCAAATGATATCATTCCAGAGTAGTAGTTGCTTGAGATTACTTTATCGATATGCAAAAGTTCAAATTATTATTATTTTTCATACATTTGGTTCCCTTGATAAATTTCGATAAAGAAAGAAAGATCAGATTTTTTTTCCTTATTGATTATTTATTAGGATGCTAATTCAACTGAATTCGATCCAAACACTACTCACCCAGTTGTTATTGATATGCCTGAACACAATCCTGGAAATATGGGTGGAACAATGCGACTTGGACGACGTCGTACACTAATGTATTTGTCAGACATATCTAAATCATATTTAGAACGTACATACAAGAGTAGTCATCGTGAATTATCAACACCCGTTTTACCCGAATCTGGAGCAGGAGATACATGCACCACATCTGAAACATTATGTTCAGATAGTGTCATGCATCGATTAATTAATGCGCCTTATTTTGATGCTCGTCACAGACATCGATATGAAGTAAATCCGAAATATGTGAGTGAATTAGAAGACGCAGGTCTTATTGTTGTTGGCCGAGATGCAGAAAAAGGCAATCGTATGGAAATTATTGAACTATTACGACCTTTACCTCAATCTGAGGATAGTTCATCCTCAGGAAATAAATGTCCAACTCGACATCCTTTCTTCGTTGCTACACAGTTTCATCCTGAATATACAAGTCGTCCGACTCGCCCATCAATTTTCTTTGTTGGACTTATGTTAGCTGCATCCAATCGGTTAGATTCCTATGTACACAATCCATTCCGTCTCAGTCCTACTCACTTTGTTGTTCATGAAAAAGACAGGACTGATTCTATGGATTTATTAAGAATAAATGTACCCCAAAAACATACAGATACAGTTAGTCTTTGTAATGGTGGTATTATCCAAATGTATGATAACGATACCATGCATAAAAGTGGTGCCATAAAGCCAATTAACAAAGATGTATGAATAGAATTGAGGTTAGTTTCTCTGTTTTATCATTATAAAGTTGTTTTATTATAATATGCTATCTTTCATTAATACTTATCAATCAACTTTTCTGGAGTCAAACCTAAATGTCGTACCTCAGTGAGATGTTAGTCATAACACCAATGTTTATTACGTGTTTTCAATTACTATGAACCACTTCTAGATACTAATATATTTGCAAAAATTTCTGAACGACTTTATTTGCAGAGCTTCAACTTAGGCGCATGCCTAACCATCGCCTCCCCCGACGGGCGTTACTAGCTGATATAGGTGCAGGTTGGAAAAGAGTAAGTGGTGGCCAAACAAAAACATGGCATCAATCCATGAAATCCTTGACAGTTAAACTGAGTCAGGTAGGGAGATGCAAACTTCCGGGTTGGGGCCCTCGGGACTCTAAGAATCAATGGCTGGAGACAATAGGTGACATGGCTCAAAATCGTTGTCAATGGCTTACGCAGATGTATTCAGTCTCTGTAATCTTTCATATTCCTTTCTACCATTACTCATTCTGTTTCACTCTTATACTTGTCAAAACTCTATTGATTCTCTTCACTCATTTTCTTGTCTACCTTTGTGTGCTATTTGGAACGTGGCAACTCGAACTGCTGCACTTCGGTGCCAAGTTCTATGTTGAATCCAGACAGACAGACTACAAATTACAACAGTCTTACATTGGGAAAACTTTAAGTAGGGTCGGAAATTGGCGACGGTCATAGTAAATTATTATTATTAATAATAATAATAATAATTTTGAAGGATTTGCCTCGATATGGTTATTGAAATGTTGACATTGTCCTTTTCACTCCCTTTGTTATCTGATTTTACATATTTTATCATTGACACTATATTATTATTATTATCGCTAGTCTGTATAATTTGCAAAATCGCTTGGTTTCATTTACATCTCCATATCTGTAGACGGTAAATACCTTTTTGCGTCTAACTGTGTAATGTGATGATAAAGAATCTGATTCTAAATAGATTTACTCTACGGATATTAAAAACTTCTTTAGCTAGTTCTCGTGGACTCGCTGATGTAGGGACAATACTGAACTAAAAAGCAGAAAAGTGAGGGCTTTATTGGATCTCAGTGTACAGTTGTCTTTGTACTTAAGAATACTACGGTAATCATCTATTGCCTCTTTCGTTATTTTCGCTTATGCTCCACGAATCGCAATTCAGAAGAAGTTAAAGAAAGGTTTTACCAGAAGCTCTCTACTATACTGCTAAAAGCAAAACGCTTACCTTAGCAGGTTTTTTTGATATTCGGGTAGGGATAGCTGAACCAGTCTGAATAGTTAATTGGAGGTGTCTAGGGAGTCCCATACCGCCGAATCGACAACAGTGGTCTTCCTTTACAATTCTGTTAAGATTATCATCTGTTCCTGGCTAGCACTAAGTTCAAACATAAAAAGGGGCATTATTCCGTTTGGCTACCATCAGAATGGAGCCACTGAAGGACACAAATAAATTACCTGGCTATAAATTATCTGTGAAAAGAGTCGGTGCTGTATAGTTGCTCCTTCTGAAACAATTGTTTGGATTCTAGTCACGAGTAACTAGGTAGTATCATCAGGCCCTCATATATTAAATGTGGCTCACAGCTGATATTTGAGAATGTATTGTAGGTGATAGGGTTCTAACGACAACTAGCTGTTACAGGTGAAAAGTCTTGTTGATCTACGGTTCTCAAATGAAATTGCTCTTTTAGGTGAAGACACTGACAGAATTTTGTCTCTTGAACGTCTTTAGCGTAAGGCTAAGTATTTTTGGCACATGATTCGTTTCTGTCGTATCTAAAATCATGCTACTGGACTAGTCATACGGATTCTTAGTCTGAGGACAAATGGTAAAATGGTTGAATACCTTGTTCACTCTTCTTGTTTAAGGATTTTCATCAGCCCATATATATTCGGTGCTAATAAAATCGTCATACGAGTAGAAAAGGCTCTTGGTATTGGTAAATTTGAGTCATCTTTGGCGTAGATGTGATACGCAGCTTTCCACCAAAGGAAGTCTTTATTGTGCAGCAGTTTGCTCTGTCCACCTCTGCTGCTTTCAAACATGGATATAGAATTTAGAAAGTATGAAAAGGTTAGCATTCAATATCTGGTGTTAGGTGGTGCAATATTGTGAATAATATTAGGGTTAAGTGTAGACCGTCACCTAAGGAGAGAAAGTCAGTCGATGAGGTTATAAAGCTGCATCGATTAAGGTGGCTTGAGCATGCATTACGGATGTTTAACCACTGCTCTCCTCAACGAGCAGTGTTAGTTGAAGCAGGATTAGATTAGAAATGGCAAATTGAATTGGTCCAAGATTAATCACGAACTGAATTAAGTTAGAGATCCATTAGAAGCCAGGGAGTACTGGACAGCCGCTTCGTCCTTGTTTGGGTGTCTTCGTCAGTACGCACCAAGGACCTGCAAGTTACAATGCGAGTTTGTGTACAGTTGAGTCACTGGGACGGAATTCAGCGGCTCATCACTTCTAACTTTTGTCTATTCGGGATATGTAGCGTTGTAACAACAGAAGACAAGGGCCAGGCAACAGATCGTTTATTAAGGAAATCAACACATTTATAGATTTTCATGTACATTATTATAGATTATTGTTAGCAGAAAAACACAGTCTTCTGATTGGTTGTTTCTCACTGAAAGTCAATCTTTCATCTTTTTGTGGCTGTTTCTTGAATGTCAGATCATCTATCTGCTAACTGTATCCGCCTACGCAAAGTCTGCTGTGGTTGGTTGTTGAATCAGTCTTTGTTCATATTTTTCTCACGACCCATATTGAGGACGTAAACATTGACGTAAGTTACTGTCTACCAATTTGGCTAGCAGCCAGCTCTCACCACAGCGTGACCATCGTCCAATGTCATCGGCGAGTATTTGGTGAACTGCGCTGGTCACGACTTTTCACTAGGGCTTCAGACAACTCCATTCTGTAGTCTGTCACTAGTGAGCACTAGATTACACTTTTGTGCAATATTCTACATTGATAAATCAACCAGTCTTTGAGAAGATAACTTGTTTATTTTCTTATTGTGCTTATTAACTCAAACAAAAGTTCATCAACTAATCATAGTATACATCGGTGGCATAGCGGTTAAGATGCTCGCCGACGATGCACATGGTCCGGGGTTCGATCCCCGGCCGACGCACTCCTTTACGTCGCTAAGACAGAAATAATGCTGGCGAAGAGGAAAGGTTGGGCATGAGGCTAGCAATCCCATCCTGTAAAATAAACACTGCTACAGAAACTTCAAGCCACTAGCTTGAAGCCCTATGTTCCACTGGGGAACGTGAAGGAAAAGAAAATTAATTATGTAGGTACAACGTGTCTTGCTCAAATGCCGTTGTAATTAGCATAGGGACTGGCATAACTTCCAATACTGGTATGTAACATCTTGATGCATATTTTATTCTAAATTAGCGATTTCGTCAAATAACAACATCTATGTACATTCACAACTGATGAGTGGAGCAAAAAAATTGAGTGTTTAATCTAAGACACATTAGTAAATAATAACTTTTTTATTCCTTTGCATTCCCAATGGGACGTAGGGCTTCAAGCTTTAGCTTTGAATTTTCAGTAGCAGTGCTGTTTCTCCACGGGGTGGTGTTGCTAGCCTCACGCTCTACCGTCCCTCTTTGTCGGGATTATAATCGGCTAAGGGAGGTAAAGGTGTGCGCCGGCTGGGACTCGAACTCCGGGCCACATGCATGGTTGGCCAGCAGTCTACGGCTGAACCACTGACGCACGTGAATACTAACTAAAAGGTTGATATTGAAAAAAACGGTAACACTGTAATGGAAAATGACAATATGTGGAGGGAACAAGAAGGTCCAAAATAACATAAGTACACTTGTCCCTTTATACTTTGATTAATATTTCACTTTGTCATCGCATTATTTTGTTGTTTTCTATTATTTTTATTATATCTAGATCAACTGGTCGTGAAAGATGGGTTCCTTGAATAGAAGACTAATTCGTGAATAGAACAAATATACTTTCAATATTTTTTTAAACTCAATGGTACATATGTATACATTGTATAAATTACAGGTTGTTGTTATCTAGTCATAAAATAAATACATTTCGTACTCATACAAAAAGGATTTTTATTCCGCTTATTGTCCAGTTCATATCCATTGCCTACGGATGACTATAAAGCTTCATACTTAATGCAACAAAGCTAATGTGTGTATGGTCGATTTCATGAACATTTTTACAAGTTATAATTCTTCTGAAGGACAGTGACTACTAAGATGATGGGTGAACATTAGTTTTAGAGATTTACTGCTGAACTTTAAGCTTAAGAATACACAAATTAAAGCTATTGATAATTTTTTTTTCCTTCACGTTCCCCAGTGGAACATAGGGCTCCAAGCTAGCGGCTTGAAGTTTCTGTAGCAGTGTTTATTTTACAGGATGGGGTTGCTAGCCTCATGCCCAACCTTTCCTCTTTACCAGCATTACTTCTGGCTCAACGAGGTAAAGGAGTGCGTCGGCCGGGAATCGAACCCTGGACCATGTGCATCGTCGGCGAGCGTCCTAACCGCTATACCACCGACGCACATTGATATTATTGATATATTATTATTACTATTATTCATCCTTTGGATCGTGAGTGGAACGTAGGGCTTCAGCAGTATATTTCCATCGTATTCTGTTTCCTACCGTCATATTTTAACTGGCTCTACAACTATCTACAAGCTTTCATTTTCCCTTCACATTGTCTCCTCCATGTTACCCTTGGAGGCCCAACCCTCATCATTTTCCAATAGAGAGTCTGGCGTGTGATGTCACATAGAGTTGTTAATAATTAGTGAAGCTAAAGTTTAGCGGTGTTAATTAACAAAATTAATAAAGGAATGCTCATTAATGAGTTGGAGTGCATCTAATGAAATTCCTCATGGTATTCTGTTTAGTAAAGATAAATCGATTTTAATCGATATTCATTCTTTCGGAGTTGTTAACCGTGCAATGTTTGTAGATAGACTTGTACGACATCACAATGAAGCTGTGTAAGCAACATATACACCTTGCTTATTGTAATACTTGCCAATTCTGCTGTCATTATATTGATTTTCACGGGTCATTCATACCTTCACTGCCTAGTGTAACTATGTTTTAATTTCATCAATCTAAGCGTGATTATATACTACTACAAGTCGAAATTTACCGGTAATGCTTTTTAAGTACATGGTATAATAAAAGTACATTATAGATGAATGTCAAGTAAATCGCATGATGTAAATAAATGTCTAACGAACACAAAATACATATTTTACTATAACTGTAAAATTTACTGATTTAAAGCAGAATAATTTGAACTGAAGGATAATTGTAGCGTAGATAGTCTTTATAATATCACTACTCAACAGCAAACGAACACTTACATAGTAGGTCAATAGTTGACAAAGGGCAGTATAGACGTCAGAGTGGTAAATAAAACGATGGATACTGAAGTGTCGTTAAGCTGATGATTCCATCATTATTAATATAACTCACAAAGATTAAGTATTTAGATAAATGATAACCTGTGCGTCGGTGGCACAGTGGTTAGGACTATCGCCGACCACGCACATGGTCCGGGGTTCGATCCCCTGCCGACGCACACCTGATATCTACGGTCGGCCTGCAAAATTTGGGCTGCCGATATCACATGCTGAAAATTCCATACCTGTACCAAAAATTAAGGTGTGGAATCATTATAAAAATAAATAAAATATTTTCAGGGGGTTTTGTAAAATCCCGTCGACAACATTTTTACATGCATGAAGAACAAGATTCCGATTTTCAACACTAATGTCAAGTCAGTTCTTCTCTATGGACCAGAGATATGGCGCGTCACCAAAAGCAGTTCTAACAGGCTGCAGCTGTCTTACCTCTATACTGAAAATCAAATGGCCAGAAAGGCTGAGCAACAATAAACTCTGAAAACTAATCAACCCATTCACCAACAAATATACCGAAGAAAATGGAGATGGATCGGGCACAAGGTGAGAAGAACATTGCGTGACATCGTATGCCAGGCCTTCGAGTGGAACCCGAATGGGAAACGGCGAGTTGGGCGTCGGGGGATGACAAGGGGGAGATGTAAGATTATCGGCAATCATGGCGCCAGCTACAGACTCACAGAATACGAAATGGAGATATCCAGTTGAAGTTTTATGTCCAACTTTGAACCCAAGGAGATGATGATGATAATAATAAATTCTGTTTATAATATGGAGTACGAAAGGACTCATTGGTTGGTCTAGCGCAATCAATATATCAATCATCATTAACACAGCCATAGTTTGATTTTTGGTACAAATCTCATCATGAAGAAGTTATTGCACATTTCTGGATTACATTTAAAATATATATTATTACTCATAATTAAATTTACGACTTCGTTTTAGTGTAAAATAAATGGAAACATTTTCTAGTGATACTTTTAGTGGTGTCTAAACAGTTGAAAACCAGTAATAGCAGCATACTAGGCACATGTGGATTATGAGCTTAAAGTTAGATGAAATGCAACTGTAGTTCTTAATCCTAACAACTAATGCAAATAGTTTGTAATCCTTGTTTTTTTTGGACTTGACATGATTTACTCCTTGAGAAACACTTTTGAATGAATCCTAAATTGACAAGTTTCGGTGGCTAAACCAGTGCGTAATCACAGGCTTACGTCCAACCCGAACAGAATGACTACCGAAAAGCCAAATAAATAAATAGCCATATAAATTTACTATTAGCAACATAGATTAATCTATCGTACAATGAATATCATTCAAAGACAACTTAGTGAATATCAAATAATGAGAATAAATAGGAGTTGAAGAATTGTTATTTCTCCATTGAAAGTATTATTCTCTATTTTAAGAACCAGTTATTTTCAAGTGAGTGTAAACTGTTAGTAATCAGGGGAATTCAGTATGGATTGACAAAATTTCAATATCGAAACCTTCTGATACACCTGCTTATAACCTTAAGATTTCTCTGATTTTTAAAATAGCACTGTAGCCTGCTCAAAACCTGGGTTACTAAAATCCTCTGTCATTATATACATATCATTTCTCTTGTTAACTTTGTTTTAGTCTACTAAAATATTACCTCTAATGGTATTGTTCAGTCTCGCAAATATTTAAAATGTCTACAACCTACTGATTTGAAAGTTTCTACAAAACTTTAGAAAAAGCGTAATCGTGGTTGACAACGTATCCCAAAACATGAGATGAAGGAGACAAAAAAGAATTGTCATAAGAGATTGATTTGCGCCTCAGGTCAGGCGACCTACTGTCAATTACTTAGAGATCGTGGACGAAGAGAAAACACGCAATAAAGTCCGCTGAAAATTTTGTACATTATATGAATACTATCCAGAATAAAGCTATTATCACTGATGTTGAAAATATCACTTAAACCTGGAAGAACACTTCTCTCGAAAACCCTTTTCGATAAACCTAAGATATTCTTCTTAATTTTAGTTTTGTTGAAAACGTATCGAAGTTGAAACTCAGCAAAATTTGAAATTATCTGTTATAACTGCACTGAACTGAATAAACTCGTCGCTACTTTGTTATGTCTGCGCCTGCTAATTGTTATAAAGGTAATGAACTCTACTGGTACCCTAAAATGCCTATTTGTCGGTTATACCTTCCGATTCACTGAGCCACGCAAATATCAAAAGACAAAGGCTGGCCTGCGACTGTAAGATGCTGTACTGTACCGTATCTTTATTAGGAAAACGACACATGGTATTTATACATTTTTACAACAATAAAGTCGGCTCACAGCCGTGGGAAATAATTGATCACACAAGTCACAATACGCGTGAGAAGTGATAATATACTATTTTATGCGGGATCCTATTATTATCTCTTCTCTGTGATATCGTGATTGTTCAAAGCTGAAGAGTTAAAGTTTAGATCAAAACAACTTCTCAGGACTTCTTGCTTTTAGGTGATTTTATAGTCCATGTAGTGATAACAATGAGAACAAATTGATGTTGTTCTACTCAGCTGTGCGATTAAAGTATTTTGTCGTTTTTATGACAGACACATGTATGCCTTTTCACAGTACTCAGACTTTCCCATATATGATAACTGTAGCGAAATACTCAGAGTGTAGAGACATTCTAATAAATCTTCATATGTATTTTAACATAAGGTAGACTCATTACAACTCCAATAGCTTTTTTTGTTTGTGCCAAACAGAATTCCTTTAAAACAATTTGTGTTCCCATCGGAAACTAGATACGACTATCCTAGTCCTTTATTGTATGAACCCAAGTGTACCAGTCCTAGTAATAAAAGTCAATGTGTAATAGACCCCACTTCAGAATTAGTGTATGATAAACTCAGTGTATCTGGCCAGCCAATGACAGCAGTGCACCTAATGGCTGCTTCAACAAACATTCGTCGAGTAATTCGTGAATGGTAACCTTCTTGTATTTAGTCATGGTGACACACTTTTGATGTTCTTAGTCGAAAAGATGACAATATAAATAACGAAATCATAAGTTGTCATTATCTTCATTTTAATGTCTTCAAAACAACCAGTTTAGCAAATAAATATTTACTTGATTGCATCATGAGCTGACATCAGTTAGAGAACCACTGGAAAACCAACAGGGAGTACTGGACAGCTGTTTCATCCTAGTTTGGAGCTCTTCATCAGTACGCACCCACCGGGGTTCGAACCCAGGACATTCTGGTCATAAGGCGAGCTCGTAGACCATTGAGCCAGTGGGACCCTATCCAATGGTCCTTGAATTCTAACTTCTGCCAATTCACGACCATTTCGCAATGTCTTCTTCGATGAGTTACTACCTCATCTTCAACCTGCTGTACCCTACTGGTCACGGCTTCCCACTAGAACCCCTGGTTAACTGCCTGAATAGAGCCAGTCGCGAAATTATCACGTTAGGTCGTGAATTGACAGAAGCTAGAATTCAAGGACCATTGGATCGAGTCCCACTGGCTCAATGGTCTACGAGCTTGCCTTGTGACCAGAATGTCCTGGGTTCGAACCCCGGTGGGTGCGTACTGATGAAGAGTCCCAAACTAGGACGAAACAGCTGTCCAGTACTCCCTGTTGGTTTTCCAGTGGTTCTCTAACTGATGTCAGCTCATGATGAAATCCCTCATTCGATCAAACAAAATCCGTACAAAACCAATACTTGAAATATTTACTTCTCAATTAAGTACTTGTTAAAAATGCAGAAAATGACTATTTCTCCTCATCTAATTACAAACTTTTGTTATTTTTTTATACTATGTTATTGATTTTCCTCCCTCACCTTTTCTTGTTTTTATGTAACCGATCTTGGTAATTTGATCACTCTTCTTGTATTTTGATCATACGAATTATGCATTATACACAAACATCTACTTTAGTTTTTGGGAAAAGAAAGAACAACACAATTGACCAGGATAATATGATATCATTTTATTTCGTTGAATCTTGTCAACTGTAGTATACACTGTAAAACAGTATACAGAATATTCACATAGTTTTGTTCTTGAACATGTAGACGAAAGTTTTTAATTTCACGTAATTAAATAACGTAATGAAAAGGATTAATGATGCTACTCAGTTTATTAGTAAATAAAGAAATAGTTTCAAAAGTAATTTAGAGTTAGGAGAAGAAGTTGAAAATCAATTAGAGATGTTAGGGATAAATAATTTAGCTGAACAGAGGTCAAGAGAAAACTTTCAGGTCAAGGGCATATAAATATGCATAAGGTATAGTCTAACTGAGAAGTCAATATTTTTCCACCGAACTTTTTGTTTACTGCGGGAGCAGTTACATTGGAAGAACAGAAAGAAGGGCATACCTCAGATCTTCTGAACTTTTAACAAAGAGCCTATGTCTAAAGGGAACAAATGCTTTAAACAGTGTCATCGCCAGGCATCTCCTTGATACGGGTCATGAGGTGGACGTCGCAAGATCGTTCAAAATTATCAATATGCAGAAGAGTTTAATTCTCCTTAAGTTTGCCGAAGCAATCTCCATCAAGCCCTTGAAACCCTATTTATGCGTTCAGAAAGAAGCGGTTATCAGTCTTTCCTTGCCCTGGTAACTGGATATTTTCACCATCTCTTTCATCCGATTACGTAATGCCGAAAGTGTCCATTGTGTATGATCATTAATGTTTGGGATAAAGTGATTATTATTATATATATTATTATTTTATGCATATATTGATTGATTTTTGTTTAAAAATGAACCCTGTGCAAGTATGTGAAAATTGTTTCTGTAGATATACTTAATTATGACTTTGGGCTGTAAGCAGCTGGTGAGAAGCCTACGAAATAAATGATGGTACCATTTTATTCTGCAAAAACTGTTGTTCTTGCTTTATTCAAATTCTTTGTTCACAGTTATCTGCTTAGAGAGACAAATCTGTTCAAGGTAAGAAAAGGAAGACAACTTTACCCCAAACAAGCAAACTGACCACTTTGCCTTAAAGTATGTTGCACACCACATTAGCACTTACTGGTGGTCAGTCTAACTGGCCCCCAACTACTGATATCTATCAGTAGTATGTGTATTAAAGTGAAACCATTATCATCCTTACAAGTACATTTGTTAGTTTGATATTCCAAGTAGAACATAGGGCTTCAACAACACATCTCCACTTTCTTCTATTTTCTGCTGTCCTCTTCACCTGGCCCACTATTGCCCATAATCTTTCAGCTCCTCCTCGCACGATCTCTTCCATGTCACCCTTAGACGACCCACTCAGGTTCCACTCGAACATGGCCTGACGCGCGATGTCATTCGACGGTCTCCTCAGCGTATGCCCAATCCACCTCCATTTTCTCCCACATATTTGTTGAGCAATAGGTTCTTGGTTGCCAGAGAGTCCTGTCTTCGCTGCCTACCTCTTCTGCCAGTTTGTTGGTTTTCGCCTGCAAGTCTTCTAGTTTTTATGGGACAACAGACATAAGCCATCCACGAAGTTCAGATCTCCTACAGTCTTCTTATCAGTACAACGTATTCCTGTCTTCTCGCTCGCCATGCACAGTTTTACACATAATCCAGTCCACCACAGAATCATCGGTGATAATAGACAGCTTTATCTTACTCCAGTCTTCACTTCAAATGCCTCGCTGAGTTTTCATTGTGGATCACTTGGCGTATAGCTGTTGAATGAGGTTGGTAGAGATTTGGTCACTCCACGCTATAATGTTCAATTAGTTTCCAAATTATATCGTTGTCAACGCGAGGTATATATATATATATATACTTAATTAAATTGTACCTAATTCTTTCGAGTATGAAGCAAGCTGTAGCTTATATGGATTTTTTAATTTTATTGTTCTCGTCCGTTTAGTCGCATCTGGGATGAAACGATGATGCAGAAACTACAACCCTTGGGAAGTGGTAGACGTAAGTGAGAGAGGGCATTGGGGCCTGGTGATTTATTTATAGTATTAGCTGATACGACACAGTTAGACTTGATACCTTCTACCGGCTCTCAAAGGTTTATTGACTCAAATTTCAAGAGAGGAGGAAAATCCTCTAGCGTTAACCACAGAAAACAAATTAGCTGTGCCAATTCATGAAGGGATTGAATATTTGTCTGACTAGGTTGGCTACTTAGATTCTGTGAGGGAAGTAAAATCTAACGTTGGAGACTGGAAAATATGAGTGAGAAACCTTGGTAACAGTACAGTTACATTCATACCTTACTTTCATGTGAGCAGAAATGTCATACTTCTTTATTCGGTCTTTTATTCCTCACTGTATGACTTCCATACATCCACTTTATTATTTACTACTTCATGTATTACACTGTTAGATTATATTCACTTAATGGTAACTAGTACTGGAATTCAGAATCAACCCATCTATACAACGCCGTGTATTGGACTACAGTTCAATAGTTTAAATAAACCAAAATGTTATTTATTTCTACTGTCCACAGTGACAAGTCAACCAGGCTAGAAAGTTCCCGTACACGAATGCTTAAACATTAGATCATGCATTGGACACACAAGTGTGTGTGTGCTAATACCGATACTCATTCGTCCTGGAACTACTGAGTGAATTTTGATGTCAGCCGTTGTGTGCCAAATAAGGGAAGGAATCAGGTTTATGATTTTGTAAATCCTCGCAATCTGAAGTGGCTGGAATATACGCTGATCACACCAAGCAACTGAATTCCTTGATGCATGCGGCTAGCGTAAGCAGGATTTGGTTTGCAGAAAACAGAACAGCGTATATCCTGATGTATTCTGCAGTAACTTAAAGAGTCGTGTATTAACATCCAACTTTCAACATCTATCACTTTTTATGAAACCTGTGAGCTGAAAGGGTTTTAAAATTAGTACTACCACAGTTTTTTCCATATTTGTGACAGCTTGACTATGCCAATATACCAGTCAAATGGAAAGAAACACATGTCCAGCAATTGGCTAAGTATTATGGAGAACCATATTCTAGTTGAATATTTTCCCGTGATAGTCCGTATAATAACGAAAATAAGAATTCTTATAAATCACTTTATAGCATATAAAATTCATACATATGGAATGTCTAAAAAACTGATATGTTTTGGAATGTTTTACACCCATGTGTGTTTAGTAAAATCCAGCCTATTGTAAAATGGTAATTTCTCTACTCCTCATCATCGTCATCCTTTTCACCCCCACTACCATCGTCTTCTTCCTCTTCCTCCTCCTCCTCTTCTTCTTGACCTTCTTCAGCTTGACGTTGAGCAGCTTCAGCTTGTGCAGCCCTCCAAGCGGCTTCTTCTTCAGGTGTTGGATCATCAACCTCTGTAATTTCTAATCCTGAAGGGAATTCATCAAATAGCTTAGGAATTGTATACGGATTAAAATTCGTGCCGGTATATTTCAATCCCCATCCTATGTATATATTTTCAAAGAATCTGAAAAAAAAAAATAGAGAAACAGTTGAAATCTGAAAACTGAACAAAGAATATTCCCTTTGATAGCTTCGTCATCAGGTTCTACAAGTTAAAGCAGCCAATAATAATAATTAAAGAATTACTGTTAGTGACAACACTAATACTTTTTAAAATAACATCGAATCACTGACATCAAAATTCTATTATTAATAGACTACAGTTCAAAACATGTGAATGTGATAACATGCATATATGTAACACTCAACTGAACACCAGTATTCCAAAGTAAATGATTATGAATAACAACGAATATATAACAATGAATGCTCATGATTAATGTGTTTATATTGAATTCTATTCACCAATAAAAGTAACAGAATATCTTCTAGGAACTAGGCTTCAATTGAAGTTCTGTAGCAGTTTTTACAGGATGGGTTCTAGCTCATGCCCAACCTTTCCTCTTTGCCAGCATTATTTCTGGCTAGCGAGTAAGGAGTGCGGGATCGACGACCATGTCATGGTTGCGAGCGTCCTAACGCTATGCCACCGACCAAACAGAATATCTACTTGAGTTAAATTCTTATCTAGTCAACATCGTTTTTCTATTATCAATGAAAAATTGGATCAGATGAGTAATAATGTGATGAGGATACATAGTTTGTGCTGATAATTTTGTCACATGTTACATATTCCGCATAAAATTATATATATATATATATCTTGCAGTCAAAGTCAGTTCCAGGGTAGATGTCATCATTATCAAATGACTTAGTCTTTCCTACTTTGAGACTTTTAAAAGTTTCTCTTGCATGGTCGACTTACAGGTAGAACTTTTATATCAACTAACAAACAGTGAAAAGAAGTTATAACTGATGGTACTGATGATAAAATGTTCCACTTTTGACACTTTCTTTAGCAATAAAACAACTTGGACTTGGGAGTAGAATAGGATTTAGTATTTGATATGTTTATTTAATTGGTTCAGTGATAGAATACTCATCCGGAATTCGATACTCGACCGACACACTCCTAAACCTCGCTTAGCTGGTAATAAGTCCGATAAAGAGCGTGAGGGTTGAAAGTGGGGCTAGCAACTATACCCTGTAAAAAAAACAACACCACTGTTACTGAAACTCCAAAGCTGAAGCTTTAAGCTCTATGTCCCACTCGGAAGGTAAAGGAAGAATACGCTGACACAGTAGTATTTACTGGGTAACACTTTCCAATCTATTAAGATTATGGTGAACAAATTGTGCCATAAGCGTCTAGAATCAAATAATACTCTATTGTCAGTTTTTTCTCAAATAAACATATCTAATATGGAATTAGACTGATTATAATTGTGTAAATTGCACATCGCGAAATAATTTGAAAATTACGAATTTGGTTCAATAAGGCGAAATACTTTTTATTTTGTCTAGAATGGTTGCTAAACTGCAGTCACTAAAGTCTTCATATCATGAACGCATATTAAAATTTGTGAAAAAAGTTTGTCACATAGTCACTAACTTAGACTGCATGACACTAGTATTAGATTTATAAATATTTAATCTATAGGAAACATTTCTTTGTTATGTTATCTAATGATATAATCTTTCATATAAAGTGATCCTACAAGGTGTCCTTTGTTATCTGAACAGACTAGTGGTTAGGACTTTCGCCGACCATGCACATGGTTCAGGGTTCGATCCCCTGCCGACGCACACCCGATATCTATGGTCGGCCTGCAAAATTTGGGCCACCGATATCCATGCTGAAAATTCCATACTTGTACTGAAAATACGGTGTGGCATCAAGCTGTAAACAAAATAAAATAAATAAATAAACTTCCTTTTTATAACACTCATTGATGAAGATGTGGATTTATGTGGGCAGCAGATATACAAAGTTGGTGGAAGCTAATTTGTACAATGACTAGATGTAGGGATTCTGGCTTACAGCCTCCTAACTTGATAAAATTTCTAGCTACACCGCCAGTTAACATACCTAGCAGTCTATCTATAGCTTTTGACAGCATTCTTTCAGCTTACCTGCCTTGTGCTATAGCATATGCACCAGGCCAAACGTTTGAAGACAGTACAGCAAAGGCATAATGTGGTATTAACTGTGATGTAATACGAGTTGACCATGGTGGAATACTGCCAATTTCTGCATCTTCCGATAATGGAGTCAATAATGGAGGTCCTGTTTCCGGTTCTGGTTCATCAGGTTCCTCTTCTTCTTCTTCAGACAATTCATCATCTAAATCATCATTCGATTTGGTTGCTGTATTCCACCTTTATTTATTAACAAAAAAGACAAGATGTCTTTTCATCAGAATGAAAAAGAATTAGAGATATAAGTGCTTACACTTTTTCAAATGTATTACAAATAACATGAAAATGCTTTGTAGTACTAAAAAGAATCTTCATATATATTTTAATAAACAGTATGGAGAGCTTCAAATTATTTAAGTCAATTTTGATTTCCCCGTTGATTGATTGAACCGAAATGTACGGCCTCCGTTGACATGTCGGCTACTAGTACGGACAGTTCGACTATTTCTGAGGATAGGCACGAAGTAATTTAGTGGATGGTGACTGGCACTGGAGTCCAGAATGTGCGTTTCGTCCTACTTTGAATTCGTCACCATTTACTGCACTACATATCGTGAATTGCCAGAAGTTGAAATCCATGGACCATTGGATCTGTCCCCAGTTGCTGAATGGTCGGTCGGTTGGTTTTCGACATAGAACTTTGCACATATGTGCGGCAGTTCAAGTCGCCACACTCCCTCCATGTAGCACACTAAGCAAGAGAAGAAAGTAGGAGAAATGCATAATATAGACAGTAAACAGAGGTGTGAAACAAAGGAATAGTAGTAACGAAGAACAAAACAGTTTCATTGGAAATCATAAGTCACAAGGAGTGGATGCATCTGCGATAGCCATTGAGAACGATTTTGAGCCATGTCACCAATTGTTTCCAACCATTGGTTTTTAATGTCCTGATGACTCCAACCAATCAGGAAGTCTACACCTCCCTACGTGGCTGGCTTAGACTAATTGTTGTAGATTTCATTGACTGGTGCCATGTTTTGGTTTGACCGCCGCTAGCTCTTTTCCAGCCTGGCCCTATATCAGCTAACATTGCCCATTGTCGAGGAAGGCAATGACTAGGCATACGTAGCATATGTCCTAACCATCTCAGTCGATGTAATTTCACAGCCTCGTCAATTGATTTCCCCTCCTTACCTAGCACTCGACGCCTAACCTCAATATTGCTCACCTTATTATACCACTTCACGCGGGAGATAGAACGCAGACACCTATGATCGAACGCAGTTGCTGAATGGTCTATGCGCTCGCCTTGTAACCAGGAGGTCATGGGTTCCAATCCCAGTGGGAGCGTTCCCCCGATGAGTTCCAAACTAGGGTGAAACATTTGTTCAGCACTCCCAGGTATTCCAATGCCTCTCTAACTGATATCAGCTCGTCGTCAAACCTAAAAATGCATTTGATTTTGTTTCTGTCAGGTAGGTTTCAGATTGAAACAAAATGATAAACCTTTTTACTTAATTTTCAACATGATTATAATAATGATAGTTATTATTATTATTATTATTATTATTATTATTATTATTACGAGTTATTCTGTCAAAGGTTGTTTTCACATAAATAACCATTTTCATGCCAATAACTGTTTATGCCTTACGTCTAATGTCTAAGTTTTACGGGTTATCAAAAAAAAAAAAAACAATTCATAAGATTATTAGTTTAATACCTTATTGTGAACTGTGTTTATTATTTTTATGCCAGTTATTTGAAAGATTCATTTATTTATATATACATAATGGAAAGTGTATGTGACTAGATAACTTAAGAATTGTGGCATTTTGAACCATTGTACTTTTTCTAGTGGAATTCACTTAATCTGTCTGAAACCTTAAAGTGATTAAATTTATTCATAAACAAAATTTATTTGTGTGAGATTAAAGGCTAATATATATATATATATAATAAACTGAAAAGTACATCGGATAATTGTGTGTTGATAGTAAGAAAACAGTTGTCATATGTGTGCATTGAGTGTCTTGTTTGAATGTAAATTTCAACATGAACCAACATCATTTAGAGAGATGATTGAAACCCAGGGATCAATGGATAACTCTTTCGTCCTAGTCTGGGACTCTTCAGAGTCATTAAACGCTTTGTGGCTTACAGTGATCTCTATCTGATGTTGGTTCGTGACAAAATCTACATTGAAATTAATCTGTATCCCTGTAAAACCCTTATATATATGTATATATATTTCGTTGGATTCTCTTCAGCTGTTTACAACCTAAAAGTTGATTATGTAAATGTACACAGAATTTTGTCTTACTTCCAAGGATCAACATGATTTTTGTTAACAGATACAAATGTTAATAAACAGTGTTCAGAAGTTCCACATATATAACTTATGCAGGCGGTCAAAATACAAACATGCAAAATTAGTAGTGGGATACATTGAAAACTGAGTTGCACAGTCAAGAAAAGGGGAAAGTAGTTGATGATGAGTGATGCAAACAAAAAGAAAGGAACTACACTAAGGCAAAAGCGGAGAGGAGGGTTGAATGCAAACGATTATATAATCAATTGAGACAAAGAGAACAGACTTTGAGTCGCCATGTCAAAGAAAGACTAATAAGTGAATCTTTCCGAACACATAAGTCAGTTTTTAAACGTTTAGTAGCGATTGCTTCAGCAGATTTGTGGAGAGTTGAGTTGTATTGTCTAATAATAATCTTGAAGGATTTCACTCTGTCCACCTCATGACTCGTATCAACAAGATGTCTGGGAATAGCACTGTACTAAGTATTTGTTCCCTTGAGACGTAAACGTTTTGGTACCTGTTCAGAGAATCTGAGATATGCCCTTCTTTCTGTTCTCCCAATGTAACTGCTGCCGCAGATACACATAAGTTTGTATACACAATTCGAGTTAACATGGGAAGGGTATCCATCAACCTTTGATTGTACCTAAGAGTTTGTTGTTCGATAAACGGGAACCAATTTGGCCACAGGATAAGTTCTGGCTAGAGAAGGTTTCAATCTTCTGTTAATTATTCCTTCAATATTATCAGCTTTAAAATCCAGTTGGAAGAAGATAGGTTTGTTTCACCTTTAGATTTTCAGATCTTCCATACTTTTTGATGAATATCGGAGGATAACTATTATTTTTCAAGACTTTCTCAATGTTTAGGAGTTCTTCCTCCAGTATTTCTCTGGAGCATATTCTTCTGACTCTGTTAAAAAGAGTCTTGATCAATGCTTGTTTGTCAATGATTGGACATAAACTACTGAAATTTAAATACAGTCCATTACATTTTGCATGTTTGTATTTTGACCGCCTGCATAAGTTATATATGTGGAACTTCTGAACACTGTTTATTAACATTTGTATCTGTTAACAAAAATCATGTTGATCCTTGGAAGTAAGACAAAATTCTGTGTACATTTACATAATCAACTTTTAGGTTGTAAACAGCTGAAGAGAATCCAACGAAATGAATGATAGCCTCATATTATTCTGCACAAACATTTGATTTTGCTTTGTTTAAATTCATAAAGGGGAATAAATGTATGAAATAGAAATTTGTGTTAGTAAAGGCATTTTTAACTGAATAAATTAGAAGTTAATCCATTACTTTTAAATACTGATCTTACTTTACAAGGTCAAGCGGAATGACAAAAATCTTCAGAAAGTAGATATCGTGTTAAATAAAGAACATTTGTAAAGATTTGATTGATTTCAGGATAAGTTTCATCATGAACTGACATCAAGTGGAAAACCATTTAAAACAGAATACTAGACAGGTATTTCGTACTTCTTTCGGACAATTCAGCAATGCGTAGCCATGAAATTAACAGGGATTCAATCCACAGATTTCATTTCACGAGACCAGCACGTTAAAGTTACACAAGTGTAAGTTATTTCTAGATATCTATGTTTTTGGTAGTCTAAATAGAAAGACAATATTAAACAGTAGACCTTGCTATCTGAATGAAGATGATTTAAACATCGCACTTTTGGGCGCAAAGCTTATCCAACGAGCATCGAAATAGGTTCAGCTAAGTCAGTTAACCGCTGGGAAGCTGTTCTGTATACGATCGGGATGGTTTTCTAGCAGTTTAGATCTCCCGATCTGGTTTTCAGTCACTCATGTCAATCAACACTATGTAATACACTCTATCTTTTCTTGTTTGAACGATGAAATCTATAGCATCAAGTATGTCTCGTAATGTGTAATCGTTGTCTCGGATTTCTATAAATATCCTCGAACTGATTAGTTTGCAAGTGATAAATTTAATGTCATGTCATAAATAATATATGCACATATTTCTTTAAATGAAGTACAGAAAGTAGTTCTTGGGAACTTAAAAACTCCATTGGAAAAAATTCAAAGTGCTTGTGAATTGAAATGACTTATGTACTTATGACTTTGATATAACAGAGAAACATGAAATTTGGAAAATAAATTATTACTCAAAAACTGCATTCATTTACATGAACATGGTTGTAAAGCACATTGACTATGTGGAAGGCAGTAATACTGCCTGGCTGCCAAAATCTCAGTAGATAGAATGTGTAATGAGTTCGTGACCTAATGGTTTGATAGTTAGCTAAGTAAACAGGGTAACCATAGTTCCACTCATAGGAAACCTGACTAAGTTCATGAAGAAAAAACTTTCATACTGTTTTTCAAGTGTTGGTTTGTAGGGATTTGATTGGTTACAGGATTTCATCATGAGCTGACATCAGTTAGAGAACCGCTGGAAAACCTGGGAGTACTGGACAGCTGTTTCGTCCTAGTTTGGGACTCTTCACAGTACGCATACTGTTTATATCCAGCCTAATCCTTAGTATAGAGATTTTCACCTGAAGTTAATTTGTATGCTGTTCGAGTTATTACTACCTATATAATTCCGTATTCTAAACAAGAATTTCATTTCAAAACAAGGCTTACTTCGTTTTTAAATTATTTAGCTTGATAAATACTGAACTTCAATAAACACTTATAAACAATAAAGGACTGTAGCGTTTATGACCAAAAAGCCTTTTCGTATCGAGGGTCATGTCCTGACTGAGGGAGCGAAATATTAACACAATGTCACGATGAAACAATTCATCGAGTCTGAAGACCATCATGGTTCTACACACGGCAATAATAAATTTAGAAAGCATATCTTTCTTGTTTTTTCACCTAAATAACCATTCATTTCACTATCGTATTAAGATGATTAACAAATGAATTA